CCCCCCCCCAGAACACAACACAAGAGTCTAGGACGAGCCAAGGACAAGTAGGATCATGGATGAAATATCATTACAACCTCGTCTGTTCTTCAACAGCATAAAAAGACTACCCCATATCAATGACAAACAGGGAAAGTCGCATAAAACAAAGTTATTTTTGGCTGGTTCATTCTGTCTTATGTCAGCCATAGCATCACCATGACCTCTAGAAACACTTGTACTTAAAAAAGGGTAAAAAAGTAAAGTTTAACCCCCCCCTTCCCCCATCATATATTTGTGGATCACAACTATCAATGCATGCAGTTTCCAGTTCCTGTAAGTCATGGCTGCATCGTTGCAACCCAACTCACTATGACTATGAACTCTGATGTTGCACATTACGTCGAGCAGTTAAAAGTAGGGCGGGGGTGTATATATATATTACTTTTACCAAAAACACAAACAACAACTTATGATGAACAAAGTACATCTTCATCTGAGGGAGCAAACAAGAGTCACATGTCAAAACAAATAAAATATTCTCTGAAGACAGCTCAAAGACAAACATCATGGGAAAATCCTGTGTAAAAACTCAATACTCTTCTGCCATCACTCCTCTGCATATGCTAGAAACACAACTTCATAAATCACTTAGGAGTAGATCATCTTTGATACTTAGAATACAAAACTAATCAACATTTAATGTTAAGTGTGAGACTGAAATGAATGACAAATTTGTTTAAATGCAACCACAAAATAGATGTTAATTCATTCAGGTGCACACATGATGCCATTTGGCCAAGTGGACAAGGTGGTAGTGGTAGGGTGGTGTGGTGGTGGGGGGTGTACAATTCGTGTGTGTGTGTGTGTGTGTGTGTGTGTGTGTGAGTGTGTGTGTGAGTGTGTGTGTGAGTGTGTGTGTGTGTGTGTGAGGTGGTGGTGGGCGGGATGGGCATTGGTCAACATCACAGGTCAGTGAGAACACTACATGATGACATCCCGCAGGGAGGTTCCCATGTCGCAGGACATCATTAGAAACTGGCGAAATCGTTCCACTCGAACAAAACGGCATCATGTGCACGCCCTTTAAGAGAACTGAGAGCAGGACACTATGAACACACAGGGCCTCTTCCTCTTCCTCTTCACACTGGTACAGCAGCAACACATCATGGCCAGTCCCCGTTATCTCCAACAAAAACAAAATTCTTCACAACAAAACTTTTCAACTTCCACTTTTCCCACCACACAATCCCCGGAGCTATACTAGTGAAGGACGGGGTGGGGGGGAAAAAAACAGCAAAATCAAAACAAAATTTTTACACAACCCCTCCTCCCCCCTCGCACAAACAAAGTGAAACCAGGAGGGGTGTGGGGAGGGTGACGACAGCAGCTCCAGATCCTGACAGTGGGGCATCCAGGTACTGCACTTTTGTCCTCACTGGGACAGGATCCGTGACTGCTCTCTAGTCCACACACACAAACGACACACTTGGGGACACACCCTGGTCTACGCACACCTGGCACGGGTGATAATCCTATCTCCTATCACACACGTATAGTCACATTCTGGTCAATGCACACTTTACGCTAGATCTGATCTGACCACACACTATGTCGGCACACGTTGCAGTGGGGCATTTTCCACAACACGCACGATGCCACACCTCGGTCTCAGCACACTTTGCTACCTTAGATTTACAAAGTTCTATCTGACATTTTCGACCGGAGTTACTAAGACTATGAAGTCAGAAACCAAATGTTCTGACTATCTGCTCTATAAAGATCCTGAGACTATTTGGAGTAATTATCAAGATTTTTTTTTGGGGGGGGGGGGGTAAGTGTTTTACGGAGCTCGCAACTGCATAATGTAATATGAGTGTGCAGGACACATTAAACATTTTCAGTTGGTAGGAAATTTTGAATTTTGCCCACGTGGCAGCCGAAGCCTACTCTTAATGATTTTGCACCACAATTAGAAAGAGCTTGACACATATGGTGAAAGTTAAACTTTTTAAAATCAAATGTCTCAAAACTAGGTCGTGAGCAGATAAAACTTTGTAACTCTAGGGTAGCGACTTGCCAAGGGAACTTAACCCCTTGGCTGTCCGCAGTCATTATAAGCAGACATAGCAACATTTGGATTTCTCACCAGCTTCTGCCCCCCC